TATAGGAAGTTCTCAACAAATAGTTATTTTGATATTAGCCTATGATCTTGAGATACAGCAAAACAGTGTTTGCATTTGTCATCAAGTGTCTGCAGTAATGCCAAAGGATAGGAAAGTAAATTTGAAGATTTCAACTCAACCTTCCACTGATTTCACCATCATCTGTTTACAAAGATCCAGGCTTCTATTTCCACTTCAATTCCTATAGTTTCTCATGTATTAGGCACTGGGGTCAGCACTGAGGAGGATAAAAAGGAGGGTCTGATTCAAAGCTTTGTTATTTTGGCTTCTTTTTGTGGGAATGTGTGCTGCTATACTTCCATTTGTGAAGTGGAGGTAGATTATTTAGTCCAGAGTCCTTTTCACAGCAATAAATGTGTGTATTTTCTATCAATGTCCTGCTCTTCACTGCTACCTCACACAATCACAGGAAATTTTCAGGATGGGTAGCTAACACTTTTACTCAGCTCAGCTTCTCCATCTAGTGGCCTGAGTAAAAGTGCCCCTTGAAGGTTAGAAGTGATCCCTAGCAGTGGCATATTGATTTCCAGCCCTCATCCCTGAGGCATTGACCCTTTGGCTTTGCTCAACATTGGAACTAAATAAGCCACCCATGGGACAGTCTCCAGACTGTTTGCTCAAACTGTTCCACCCAGAGTCTGGGATATCTTAATTCATACTGATGAGGAGTCAGCAATAGTCCTACTCACTGGCTAAATGTCCCTGGCCATTTTGTTTTCTCCATAATACTGAAAAATTATGGTTCCCTTCTGCTGCCCTCTAGGCAGGGTGAAAGGTACAGATGCCATTGAGGAGAGGGTTTTAGATTGAATTGAAATTTTTTTCATTTTTTTCCTGAAGATAATGGGGAAGAAAAAGGTTAGTTATAACAATGTGTCAAGACTACTTCATTTTCTCTCTCTCTCTCTCTCTCTCTCTCACACACACACACACACACACACCACTTTCTTCATACACAGAATGGCAGACCATTGACTGTTACCCCAGATTTCTTACACACAGAAAAGAATGCGTTAGATAACTTGGAAGACATTCCCTAAAATGTATTGCAGTTGGTCAGCCTGGAAAAGAAAGTGGTTTTGACAGAGAAGAATGAGAGAAACAGATTAGTGCAGCCCTAGATTTCTTAGACCTGTGTTCAGTGGACACCCCTAATTTTCAATATATGCTTTGTTAAGAATTTTCTTTCTCACTTCACTGCTTCACTTAATTCGCTGAGGAAAGGGTTTCCTGAATTTTAGATATTCCCAGGGCAAGAAAATCTGCCACCCTAACATCTTTCCTAGAGTTAATTACCCGAGGGATTAATGAAAACATTGGATGGTGGTACTGTTGGAGAAATATAATGAAAAAATCTCCTGCCATCCCAGAAAAATCTTTCCATAAAAGTAGGAAAAAAAAGTTTTATTATTGAATAAGCACGGAACCAGAATGTGCAGCAAGCCACAAGTGATTCACTACGGAGATTGTAAAGACAATGGAATTGTGCCCTTTTATATAACCAAGCAGATACAATCCATTGCATGCATTCTCTCAAGATAAACAGTGACTAGTCCTCAAATAAGAGGATTTGACTATACCACCTGCCACACACAACTCACCCTAAATTCATTTGGTAACATATTTGCTAATTGTCCTTAAAAGAGAACATTTCCTCTTTTTTCCATGGAAGTAGCTTGCAGTTTGGAGTCCCCAGGCCAGCTGAATTTCTGCAGCTATTCCCCAGGGGTAGGGGGACTGGGAAGTTGGGCACGATCTTCCTTGATGATTACATTTCAAAGAGAAAGCTCCCAGATCCTGAAGGAAACTTTATTCCTGGGTTGCTTATTCAACCTTTACAAGAGTTACTTGCCTTTCAAAGATAGAAAGAACTTACAAGTTTTCTAATGGAAAAGCTTTAAGAAAAGAGCCGGAGAGAAAGTCTCCACCCTCATTTTCAGCAGAGAGAATTAAACTTCTTATCTTTTAAATTTGTATTTGCCCTTAGAGTACTAAAATGTTAGAAATACTCATGTATTTTGCTTTGAGCCTCCAGTGCCCCTAGACTGGCATTGCCCTCCTTTCCTTACGGCTCCTCCTCAGGTCAGAATGTTTTCTCCTCCTCTGCAGGGACTGTTGTCTGTCTGCCAGCTGGTAGTGAAGCCCTCCTGGAAATGCTCCACAGAGACAGACTGAAGCCTGGGGAGCAGCTACCAAGGGTGGCTGCAGAACTAGTACCCTCCCCATGCTGTTCCTGACTGTGGCAAGTGTGACCTCTGCATTACTCAAGGACAGGGAAGAAAGTAGCTTGCATTTTGTCTTATCTCATTTCAAGGAACTCCATGAGGGCAAGCCTGTATGTGTTTTGCTCCACGTTGAACCCGCCGTGCCCAGCGTATAGTAGGTGTTCAACATACACTCGTTAAAGAAATGAAGAAACGAATGAGTGATCAAGCTGGAACCAGCCATCAAATATAAGGATAATACCAAAAATTGATGGTTCCCTGTCCCCAAGTTCATTTCTTTGTTTTTATAACCTTTTTTTTTCCGTTGAGACATAATTTACATACAGTAAAATGCACCCTTTTTGGTAGACAGCTATTTCGATTATGAGACACGCATGCAGTCATGTTGCCACCACCACAAGATACAAAAGAACAGAAAAATTCCCTCCTGCCCCTTGAAGGTCAATCCCTCCCCCACCCCTTGCTCCTGGCCACTGCTGATATAGTTTCTGTCCCTACCATTTTGCCTTGGGCTGAATGTCATATAAAGGTAGGCTTTAAGTCTGGCTTCTTTCACTTCATGTGATGCATTTGAGATTCATCTGTGTTGTTGCATGAATTTGTAGTCCATTCCTTTTTATTATCGGTCAGTCTTGGAGGGATGCAACAGTTTGTCTAGCTGTTCACCCCTTGGAAATCATTTGGGTTATTTCCAGGGTTTGAGGAGCAATTCTGAGTAAAGCAGCTATTGCATGCAGGTTCCTAGAGATCTTATGTTTTATTTCACTTGGGATTGCTAAATTGTATGATGAGGCTATGCTTATAAGAAACTACCATGCTGGTTTTCAAAGAGGCTGAACCAGTTTGCATTCCCATCGGCAATGCATGCAGCAAGCTCTGCGTTCCCTCACCAGCGCTTGGTGTCATCAGTTTTTCTGTTGTTTTCAATGTTAGCCATTCTAATAGGTGTAAATAAGACAACCACAGAACCACAATGGCTTTACTTAGGCTAAGTCACCAAATGGGGGCTTAATACCTAACTAAGTGCAATTTCAATCCCCTCCAGAAATTTAAGTCTTAACTGGTGAGTCGGGAATTTTCTGATCAACATCAGTGATCCTCTTCATCCCGGAAAGGAAGATGAGGTAATCCACCTAATAAGACCCCCTGTCCATCGTCCCTCTAAGGGAAAGTGACTTTGACTGGAACAATTCTTTCTTTTATTTTGCTAATAACTTTCTTGCCCCACCCTCCTATAAAAACCTTCCATTTTACACAGCCCCTCAGAGCATCTCTCTACTTGCTGGATGGGATACTGCCCAAGTCCTGAGTCTCTTATAAAGCCAATTAACTCTTCAAAATCACTTGACTGACCTGTTTTTTAGCAAATGTGTATAAAGGTATTGCATTGTGGTTTGATTTCCATTTCCCTAATGACTATGGTATTGAACATTTTTTCATGTATGTATTTACCATCTGTATATTTTCTCTGTTGAAATGTCTGTTCAAATATTTTGGCCATTTTGTTATTGGCTGTTTGTTTTCTTAGTGAGTTTTGAGAGTTCTTTATATATTCTGGATAAAATCTTTTTATCAGATATATGCTTTGTTATTAATTTCTATTGGTCATTGGGATGACTTAACTTGTTTTAACCTTTTTTGTTTTTTGTTTTTAAAGATTTTATTTATTTTTATTTATTTGACACAGAGAGAGAGATAGTGAGAGAGAGAGAGAGAGAGAGCGCACAAGCAGGGGGAGCAGGAGAGGGAGAAGCAGGCTCTCTGCTGAGCAGGGAGCCCGATGCGGGGCTCGATCCCAGGACCCTGGGATCATGACCTGAGCCTAAGGCAGCCCCTTAACCGACTGAGCCACCCAGGCACCGCTAACCTTTTTTTTTGTTTTAAAACAAAATTCCCCCTCTGACTTTTCCAAGACTATGAAGTGGTTGAATAAATTTAGGAATCTGAAGTGAAAAACTCCATGGCCTGTCTGTAATTGCAGATGGGGCTTCCCCAGAAGCTGAACACTCTCCTTGACCAATGGCTTCTGGTTAAGGCCAGTAGCCTGGTTCCCTCAGGAGTTGGGAAGGAAACATTTTTCTCTATTCTGGCTGGCCTAAGAATTAAATTGACATGAAACAAATTAACAGGAGAGAAACAAAAGCTTAATAACATGTCTATCTCCTGTATGTAAGGGAGAGACTCAGGGAAACTAAGCAATTCCCCCAAAGGGCTGAAGCCATCACCTTAAAAACCATCTTCAGTTAAAGACAAAAGACGTTGGGGATGGAGGGTCCGTTGTGGGAGGAAAAAGCACAGTAAACAAGGGTCATGCTGTTATGCAGATTTAATTGCCTTCTGCATTAGTAACAGTTTCTAGAGACTTAGAGCTCCCTCTTCCTGATACCCTTACACATGGAGATTTCCCTTGTCAATGCAAAAGTCTCTTCCAGTAGGGCAATTTCTACTTGATTTTCAGAGCCTGTTTTATATCTGAAGTTTCTTTAAAGTAACCAACTTAGAATAATATGCCAAAGAGGCGTATCTCTGAGTGGCAAAATTTGCTCCTGTTTACGGGCTCTGACATTTTAGGAAGTTGTGCGTGCGTGCACCTCAGACTCTCCGCCCCGTGGGGTCCTCCTTCCTCTGTGGGGAGGTACTCTTCTCCTTTCAGCTCTCTGGCACTGGTAGCCAGAGCAACGCACACTGGGTCAGGAGCTGCCCCCTTTAGAGCACCAGGCTGGCTGAGGGGAAGTCACCAAGAGAACTGAGAGAATGGGGAACTCTCTGCTGAGGGAAAACAGGTGAGTCCAGTCTCCCCAGGGGAAAGCAGGGGACGTGGGACCGAGCCATCAAGAAAAAAAAAGAGGTCTTTGGGCAAGGGGAGGGAACAGGGTAAAGAACTGAAAAAAAATTAAGTGCTTACTGATGGTCAGACACTAAGTTCAACTCCTTATAGCGCTGGCCTTCTCCCCAGAATCAGAGTGAGCAAGCAGCTGGTGGAGAACCCCTAAAAGGCAGAAGGACTTTATCAAGGGAGGTCAATGCAGTAAACCATGACTTAAGAAATGCAACAATTTTCTGAGGGCTGGTGGGGGATGGGGATGGGTAGGACAGTCTCCTGAGTTCTTAATGCCTGCAAGGAGCTCAAAGACACCACTACTCTTTTAATTACTATTTTAGTTCAAAATAAATAGCAAGCTTCTGCCCACAGGGAGGGCTCACCCAGTGCATATTCCCTGCAATGGGTAAGCAGAGGTCATTAAAATCAGTCAAGAATTTGGCTTTTTCTAGACCTCGGTTTCCTAATTTTAAGAGGAAGTAATAATACAATACCTACCTTGGAAGTTTCTAGTGCGTGTGATGCTAGCACAGTGCCTTACACACAGTAAGGTTCAATAATAATAAGATATTATTTTGGGGGACCATCATCTTCATTAACATCAAAGCAGTCATTGTAAAAATTAGTACCACCCAAAACAAAGAGAATCCCTAGTGAGGTGGTCTAGGGAGAATGAACTCGCTGGGACAAGGAAAGGGGAATACTTTTAAGGATGACGTTTGGCATCCCGAGTCCCAGTTCCTGCCACTGGGAGCTAAGACACGGGACTCAAAATGCCACCTGCCAAAAAGAGGCTTGGTGAACCCATGAGATGTGTCCTGCCCCTCCCTGAAACCCAGTGTTTTCTGAAACTCCTCCCTGGTTCCTCAGGCCTTGAGCCATCTGCAGCTCGGCCATGTTATCAGCTTATAAATCCCTATTCTCATATCTATGTGTGAGTTCCTCAAATGTAGAGACTGTTTCTTAGTCATGTTTGAATTCCTGTTTCCTAGCATTATTTCTGACAAATAGTAGGCACTCAAAATGAGTTTGATGAATGATTGGAAACGTGAAGAAATCACTGTCTTGAGAAGAAAAATAAAACAAAATACAGATATAATGTGACTGAGAAAGTCATGATTGATGTGACATTTGTAGTTTTTTTGTTTTGTTTTGTTTTTAGAATTTTGGTGTGAGGGTGAAGGATTAGGACTCTAATACACATTAGTTGTAGAAACAGTGAAAAATACATGAAGTATAAAGAAAAAAATGGTAACTCACAGTTATAACTGTTGACAACATTAGATACATCTTCCTTATTTTAATGTCTATATTTATCAGTCATTTGTATTTCTTTGTCTGTGAAGAGCCAGTCATGTCTTTTGCCTATTTTTTGTTTTGGATTTTGGTCTACTTTGTTTTACTGATAGTACAAGCTATTCTCAGTTTGAAGAAATTAGCCCTTTCTCATATTACAAAAAATAGTTTTTCTAGTCTGTATATCTTGTGCCATGCAAACTTTTTATGTTTTGCTTACTATTTCTTAAACATAATTGAATTAAATCTAGAAAGCTCTTAGGTTTCTACCAATTAATGCTTAAAATTTTTCTGCATCTTAAGATAAGACACATCCACAGTATCATTTTGTTGTTGTTGTTTTATTGCTTTACATGTAGACCCATACATTCACTATATGGTGTCAAATATGCATACGCATACACACACACACACCCCACCCACACACACGCACATATATATTTTTTTTCCAAAATAGTTGATCAGTTGGCTCAGCATCTTCATTTCCATGCTGATTTAAAATGTTTCCCTTAGGGTGCCCCGGTGGCTCAGTTGGTTAAGCGTCTGCCTTCGGCTCAGGTCATGATCACGGAGTCCTGGGATCGAGCCCCGCATTGGGCTCCCTGCTCAGTGGGAAGCCTGCATCTCCCTCTCCCACTCCCCCTGCTTGTGTTCCTGCTCTCGCTGTGTCTCTCTCTGTCAAATAAATAAATAAATAATCTTAAAAAAAAGATTTAAAAAATAAAATAAAATAAAATATTTCCCTTAGTATAATTTTCAAAGGCTTTTATTTCCTGGGATCTGATTTTCAACTTCACCCCTACCTCCCATTTATCATCCAGTCAGCACAGCCCCACCATGGTTCTCCAGATCAGATTTGTTACAAAAGCCATGGAGATCCCCCCCACACACACACACTGAGCAGTGTGTCACCTAGTCCTCTACAAGAGGAGCTCAGAGTCTTACTGATTGGTGGTCCTCGGACAAGTTACCTAACATTTTTGGCCTCAGTTTTCTCATTGGTAAAAAATAGAATCATAACATCTATCTCACGGATTTATTCTGAGATTAAATGAAATATAACATATAAAATGTGTGTGTTATATACATTTAGTAAGTGGAGTGTGTGTGTGTGTGTGTGTGTGTGTGGAGAGAGAGAGAGAAGATGAGAGAAAGTAATAAGCATATAGTAAGTAGTACTTAATTTTTATTTTTTTTAAAGATTTTATGTATTTATTTGATAGACAAAGAGAGCGAGCACAAGTAGGCAGAGTGGCAGGCAAAGGGAGAGGAGAAGCAGGCTCCCCGCCCAGCAGAGAGCCTGATTCAGGGCTCGATCCCAGGACCCCAGGATCATGACCTGAGCCGAAGGCAGACACCCAACCGACAGCCACCCAGGCGCCCCAGTAGTAGTTAATTTTTAGTTTCTTTTTCTCTATACCCTCAAATCCCCACAAGTGAAAAAAAATGGTTATACAGAAACCCAACCCGCACAAGGAACAGATTTATTTTCTTTCTTTAATCCTTTCTTCTCCTCTTATCCCATGTTCTCTGCCTTGGTGCTGTGAAAGCTGATGACTTACCTGAGACAAGCCAGTACCCTTCCCCATCCCTGTGCGCCATCCTGAAGACTGCTCCAAGCCCATAGGCCTCTCCATATGCTGATAGTCTCATGGTCATCATGAGCAATCCTGGCCGCATGGGAACAAATGATTTAGGGCCGGTGGTGTGTGGAGTTTGTCGGAGAATGTCGGCGGGTGGGCTGTTGCTATGGCAATGAGGAAGTGTCAGATAAAAGGTTGCCATGTATGTTAAAGAGAAGCTGTGAACAGATCTGAGGGGAACAGGCTGAAGCTGAGGTGATGCCGGGGTGATACACAAATGGCAGAAATGACAAAAGTTGGAAAAATTGGTAATCAAGGAGGGAAGCCCAGAAAGGAAGAACTTAGCTCATTCCTGATATGTTGGGTTTTAGATGGCAGCAGAACACTCAAGAAATACCCTGGACTCTGGAAAACCAAAGCTTCGAACAGAGAACATCCAGGTGAGAACAAATCCAACAAACCTTCTCCCAGCCTTTGCCCATGAAGAGTAAAGTCTGTCAGGTACTGGACTTCACATGCTCTACAACGAAGCACCCTGCCTCGCCCAGCAGCAGCTGTAATCATGGTAAATGTGAAGACAAGACAAAAGACAAAAACACTTTGAACCTTTGGACAGGAGACGTGCAACCCCTGCTGCCTCTGTTCATTTAGCTCAAGTACCTTTGCGCTCAGCTCCATCCTGACCATTCCATTTTAAACTCTTTAAGTTTCTATTGCTGAGGTGACTACAACTCCCATATGATCATTAAAAGGTTTGTGGATAGAGACACTTGCAATTACCCTGATGCTGTTAGACCAAGATTTCCTCATGAGCCCTTTCTGACCACTCCTTTTGAGTGCCAGGGAATCACTCAAATATGGAACTAGGGTCTCAGGGTCCAAGAATTCCAAAGAGTAGCAAAGCCAGTTGTTCTGTGACCTATAGAGTTATCTGCCCTTTTCCCATGGTTTCAGGAGAAGCTCTTGAAAGAATATCAATTAAATTAAAAAGCAACCACTGAGCCAAAGCTTGCATTAGGAGCTGGACACCCAAAGATCCCCCAACAGGGATCTGTACTGTATCACTGGGGGAGGATATGTCTGGATGGTATTTTTATAGTACATGGCTTCAGGGCAAGCTAAGGATCATCTATTTGGGGGATATCCCTGGACGTGTGTTAAAGCATATACTCCAAATAATGAACCAGACCAGAAGGGTCATGGGCATTATAACAAGGGAGAGACTGGGTAGACTAGGGGGCCAGGGAAGCTTTATGTAAGAGACAGGAACCTGGAATTTCCGGCACAGAGTGTGGCGTCCCAGAGATGCATCCGGTCTCCTGCAGAACCTACCCCAAACCAAAACATCCAGGCTGAAATGCAAGAATACATTACAGAAAAATTGAGTGGGGGAAATAACAAGCTTGAAAATAGCTTTTGCCCATATTTAACTTTATGTGACCCTTACAACTCCATGAGGTGAGCAGTGTAAGCCTCTTTGTTTTACGACAAAGAAACCATGGCTCAAGTTTTCCAAAGATCCTCGTCCCGTCAGTAACTCAAAATCGGCTGTCTTTTCTCATCACCCATATCTCCTTAGGGAACCCAGTTTCTTAGCACTGGCGAAGTTCAGTGGTTTCCTTCTGGTGTTTCTTCAGCCACAGAAACAGGAGATAGAAACAACGGCTGAAAGTCGCACAAAGAGGAGCCATGCCTTTTCAGCCGTCAAACTCTGGGGGTACAGGGACCCCCAGTTGCTGTCAGAACACTCTGCCATGCTGGCGCCGACAGCATCTCTTCCAGCACCCTTTGCAAGGGAACTCCCTGGGAAGCTCACTTTGTGGGGGATATGTCCGGATGGTACTTTTACAGACCCTTTTAACATAGTGTTACCGGGACATGCAGGGCATTCACATTCAACTACGTAGGTAGCTGACTATGACTCAAGTTCAGAAAGATGCCCAGCATGATAGACGTCAGACTGGATGTCTGACTGCAGAACGATCTGCCTCCCATAAAAGAGATCCCAAGTCCTGTTAATTTACCTGTCCCTTGGGTCAAGGAGGCAGATTTGATGACCTGAGCCAGTTAGAGTTACTCTGTTCTTGGCTACTCGTTCATTTATCAAATATTTATTGAAAATAGATTTACCAGCCACTCTGCCACATGCTGGTGATCTATGCCGGCGATGAACAAAATAAATCTATATGGTCCCCGACTTTATGAATCTCTAGTGTAGGATGTAAACCAATGAACTGTTAAATAACAAAATTCAACAAAGTAAATGGGAAGATCTACTTGTCTTTATTAAATGATTCACGAATCAGCAACACCCCATCTAGTAGGTAGAGAGGCTGTCAAAGGAGTTATATATAGAAGGAGGGTGGACAAAAGAAAGTTATTAGCAGAAGAAAAAGATTATCCCAGGTGAGGCTACTACTTTCTAAGGGGAAAAGCAAGGTGTCTTATCATGCAGATTATCTCATCTTTTTGTGGGGATGGAGAAGGCCAGGTGACAGGCTCAATGGCACAAATTGAAGAATTCCCGGCTGACGGGTTAAGACTACATTGATGGAGGAGGTTGAAACTGCAATTCAATTATGTTTTAAGCACCAGTTTCGGAACTCAGTCCAAGTGACACCATTTTGAGCCAGTGTTGTTTTGGGGTTTTTTCAACCTAACAATTATAATGTGGTATACATTTATAATTACAGTTTAAATAGGAGAAATTCAGAGTACAGTAGAATTCACTATAAATATTGCCTAACCTGTACCAGAAAGAAATTTCTAAAATGTCCACACACTGATACCGTGATTTCCTGGAGATGACTCTTGTGTGTCCTTCATCACAAGAGACCAAGTAAATCATTGAAATTGGGGATGAGCAAGCTCTTCTAGGTGACTTGGACACATCTATCATGCTAGAATGACTCCTTCCTCCCAGGATATGAACTGCCCCTTTGGAAATATGGAGATGATGCCTATCAACAGCAGAAAGTTCCTTCCCTGATTAGGAGGTGATACGCATCGTCTTCATATTTCCAAAGGGGCAGTTCATGTTCTGGGAGGAAGAAATCATTCTAACATGATAGATGTGTCCAAGTCATCTAGAATAAATACTGTCTTGGGGGTTGGGAGAGAAAAAAAGGTTTTTCACAGAACTGGCAAAGAGAAGGAGTCACCCTAATCAAGCTGCAGAAACCAACATGGTGACTTGTGTCATCTCATGGTTATTTTAGATGCTGGGACCACTACGTTGCCGAAGGGTGTTTCTGCCTTCCGTGGTGAGTGGAGAATTGTTTTCAAGAGTTATTTCACTGAGTGTGGTTTCAATGTGGTATTTACTGTAAATCGCCTCTAACTGCCCACTGTCTGTGGCCACGGGGGAAGCCTCTGACTCCCCAGACACAGTCATCTGAGAGTCAGTCAGGGAAGTAACAATTCGAGCCTGGTGAGAAACAGGAACAATAGTCTTGATGGCGCTCCTTGAACCAGAAAGCCTCAGAAGCAAGGCTGAAAGTGGCCACTATAGAGAGAAAGACCCCTCCTCACACTGTAAGTGCTAGACTCCATGTGTGGAAGCATACATTTCTGGCCCTTGCACAGAAAACTCACAGCCAGGGTGATCATATAAGTCCTCTGACACCCTGGGAAGGCGTTGAGAGTGAAAGGCATGCTACAAATAGTTTGGGGTCCCTAAGTGACTGATAAGGACATTACCCAGACTCCCTAAGCCAAGCGGGACATATGGTCATGCTGCTTGGCACACATGTCATTGTCTCCTGAGATGATAATGAGCTTCCATTATATTTAGACTGTGTTCCTCTGGGGGACTTGTCTCTACAGAGTAGTTACCCCTGTGCTCACATGGACCACTTTTGCTTGCTTGCTTGCTTGCTTGGAGATCAGAGATCAGGCTTGGGGTTGGAATTGGAAATAACCTTGGCTCCTTATGTCACATGATATAAAAGAAATTGATATTTTGTTAGAAAAAAATATCCCCAAATAGTTAACTATGACATCACCATAGTTCTCCATTTATAAATCAATTCTACCTCAACCCATAGAAAAGGGAGAAGGGAGAAGAGAGAGAGAAAGACACACACACAAACACACACACACACACACACACAGAGGTGGAGATTTCTACTTGGTCTTTCATTTTTCCTTTTATCTATCTTCGTTTTCCTCTATGCTAAAGGAGGTATAACTTTAACAAATGAAAGAGTTAAAGATAAGGTTTTAGAGTCCAGTGCCATTTCCTTTGAGAGTTTCTGAATATTGAAACCTTTTCCTTCCTTTTCTTTTTTCAGGAAAAAAGTATGCATTTGTAAAGCAAAGCCAGATTCCTCAAAGAAGAGTAAGTCATTGCTTTCTCATCTTTTCGACTTTGGATAGACTTACATTTCCACACCGCTCCTTCTCTGTGCTTCCCAAGCTCCTTGGGCGTCGTCCTCCCAGTGTAACACTTACGTGTGGGTCTGTGTCACTCGTCCAGTTGCTTGTGTCTCTCTCCACAAGACTGTGAGCTCATCGAAGCAGGAACTGGCTACTGATCTCCGTATCCCACCGTGAGGTCTGGAGGCCAGACGAGTGAACTGGGAACAATAACTGGAAAGGTAGAGGGTCACCGAGAGCCACAAGGAGGGGCGGGACCTTGTAGGCAAGTTTAGGATTGGAGTTTTTGTCTTGAGAACTGCAGAACTATTGAGGGGCTTTAAACAAGGGGCTGGTATGATGCCCTTTGCATGAAATGACACCGCCTGGGTTGCTGTGCAGAGAACACATTGCACTAGCGCCTGGCAAGAAGGGATGCTGGAGATTCACTTAGGGGGTGAGGCAATGGTCTTTGGAGACAGAAGAGGACTGCAGCTAAGGAGAAGAAATTCGAGAAGGAGAGGGTGGTGAATAGCATCACATGCAAGAAAGAGAGAAAGGAAGTATAGGCCTGAGGACAGGCCATTGTATTTCTAAAGAAGAAAAGTGATGGAGTTTGGGTTTAAAGAGCAGAGCCTAATTCATTCACTCCGAGTCTTGCAGACTAGCTCCGTAAAGTGTATTCGTGAATAATACGGCCCTCCCACCCCTAGCATCACCCCAGGGAATGGTGGGGCCCAGGAAACCCCAATCTCCATCAGAGCAAAACAAGGTGGAGATAAGACCTCTAATGCTAAAACTCACAGACGTTCCTTGCAGTGATAATCAGGGACGTCCTAGATGGCCATGGGAATTTATGGAGATGTGAGAATCTGGGATGTCAGTCCTGAGGGAAGGTAAATCCATAATATAATAAATAAGATGAGCTTCAGGGGCACACCCACCTCCTGTGTAGGAGGGCGTCCTGCGGCTTCCGTGTGAAAGCTCATGTTGGCTTATTGAGCCCGTGTGTTTGCGAGGGGGTAGCGAGTGCGTCCGTTTGCCTCTTTGCTGAGTGGCCAAAGCCAGTTGCTTTTAAATAAACTGGCTTTTGAAAATCTGGCCAGGTTCTGTGTGTATCTGCTAGCAAATTCAGGAATGGGAATGCTCAATTTAAGAATTTCCTTCCGTCAAGCTTTTTCTGAGCACCAGCCCCCCACTACTATCACCCCCTGTCACCTGCAGTAGACACGACAGTCCTCCTTTGCATCGTGGATCCTCAGGGGCCCTTGTCTGCCTCCTATGCTAGCCTGTGAGCCCCTTGGGGACAGGAACTGTTTCTGATTTTTCTTTGTCTCCACAGTGCCTGGTACAAGGTAGGTATGCAATGGATCTTGTATGAGGGAGGGAGGGAGGGGTGGGGGAGAGAGAAGGAATTGTGATTTCCCTTCTAAAACCCCACCGAATATGTTTCCCTCCACTCAGCCCCAAACAGCTCTGCTGTTTCTTTAGATGGTCCTGTCATTCCCCAGGGGTGTGTCACAGGTCAGGATAGCCTGATGGACCACTGTTTGGCTCTCTGACTGCTTATGTCCCAGTGTCCACCCCTCCCCCCACTCCCCATCCTCTCTCAAATCTCTCCATGACCTGAAATTGATTGTATTTTCTTTCTCCAGATAAAGGAATGTCATCTGCTCCTGTGCAGGTAATGCAAACACCTCTGAACCCTTTTCTGAGATGCTGGTAGCAATGCAGATACCCCAGATGGCAGAAGTTGGCCTCCAAGACCCCTTCAAACCTTGATATGAAAGAAAGACTTTAGATGCCAGTGCTTGTCGGCCAGGGCCCTGTGTGAGGCCTGGTGGCAGCAGTGTCAGCCACCTCTGTTGTACATCTTACTGAAAGGGGCTAATATATATGGAGCCCTTTGTTGATGCCAGGCAGTGTGCTGAGAGCTTTGCCTGGAGTGTCTCATGTCACTGTTATGGCGATCCTATAAGACCGGCACTATTATTTCCCCTGTTGTACAAATGAGAAAACGGAGAGGCTAAGTGATATTCTCCCCAGGCCAGACGCTGACAAGAAGTCAGGGGCATGATTCAAAACCAAGCCTCAGTCCCAGATCCAAGGTTCTCCCTCTTGTATTTTGCTGCTTTGCTTTTTATCTCCTGAGATTCCACTGCCTGGGAGCTTCTTTTGAGTGGTTTCCCTTTTTAATAATGCAAAAATCTCTAGGATGAGTGGTTAAATATCATAAGCTGTCATGCCAAGGTGGCCTCGGATTGTTCTCCTATATAAAAATGTGCTGCCCTCAGGGTCTGAGACTTGGGAATTATATATATGACTTGGGATAGTCAGGGGTCACTCTGGAACATGGGGCAGAGAGGACATGCCTGGGCAGGCTGAATACTCTGGACAGCATGAGCTCTCTGGCTGCCTGGGCTAGTGGTTGGGGTGGGGGTCGCCATTAGGAAAAACAGCCAGGGGGTGGAGGAGAGATGGTCATGGAAGACAGATTTTGACCAGGGTTGGGTCTGTGTTGAGCCTGGAGTATATAAAGGGAATGGCAAGAGTCTCACTCTTGATAAAGTTCTTCTTTGACCAGCAGGACAATGCTGATCAGAGCTCCTCGGAGGATCTCTGCTACACCCACATTAATCATGTCGTCCTTGGGAGAAAGCTATCAGGGATCTCCAGTGAGGGGTTCTATGAGAACGTTTCCCCTAAGACCAAGACATCCAGGAAGTCCTTGGGAGAAACCGAGACTTCATACGCACTTCTCCGGGTGCCTTCCTCCCCAAGGCATTTGTCTTCCCCAGAAGATGAATATGAACTTGTAGTCCCTAGTAGAATCTCCTTCCACTCCCTGCAACAGCCACATCTACCTCTGCTACCGTCAAAGACTCAGGTTTCCTATTTATAATGAAATAGTTGGACCAGCACTTGTCTAATACCAGTAAATAAAAACTGGGGGTGTGGGGCTCTGGTTGAAGCAGGTGTGGGGTCTAGAGCCCTTCAGGCTTACCCCCCTCCACACACACAACAGCCTTTGTTACAGGGGTCTCTGCAGAATCCGGTTTGCCAACCACAGGGCCTCTTAGATCCAGCTCAATATTCATCATCCAAAGACCAACCACCTATCCCGAACACTGCTCGTTGAGAACGGAGTGGCCATCTTTGATTCCAAATGGCTTTGGAAAAGGACCAATTAGCTCAATGGAGGGAGGGGCTTCTTGGTCACCTACAGCTATGAGCATCACAAAGGGTCTGCTCCTCTGTCCAGATTCTTCTCCATAAAATGTCCACATGATTGTCTCCTGGAGTCACAAGGAAGCTTTATCCATCGTACTAAGTGTGCCAGGGGGTTCCACTGGTTCCACACGTTTGAAGGCCCAACCCCTCACTCCAAGCCTTCCAGGTGGCAACCTGTGTGCTCCTCTCACCCTGTGTGCCACTGAACCGTGTCCTTTGACTTGTTGACCCTTGTGGTTTTGTTGGTTATGTGAGTTGAATCAGTAAGTTCTACATCAGGTTTTTTATATAATTTTTAATATAATTTTAGTCCATATTTTTTAACCTCGTATTTCTCCCTAGAAATCTTAACAAGAAAATCACAGCATTAGAGAATGGTAGAGTAGAAAGACCTATGGAGACACTCTAATCCCATTATCCTTTTTGCTCAGAGAAGTAACGCAATGTACATTGCAAGCTAGTGACAGAACTTTATCCAGAGCCTGATTTCCTGGTTTCCAATTCAGCACTCTTCCAACATATTACCTAGAAGAGCCTCTACTCAACTGTGTGGTGTGTGTGTGGATGAACTAATACGTCATGTCTAAAATATGAAAAAAAGTCCACATGAGAAAAATAATACACACACATCACACACATACCCCTTCTCTAATGAGCCTTTCTCTGTATGTTCTGATTATTTTTCCTAATTTTTTCTTCATTATTCCTAGAATTCCATCTATCCCCTAAAAGAGAGGTCAGCAAACTGTGACCTGCAGGCCAAATCTGACTTACTGTCTTTTTTTATATATAAATAAAATGTTATTGAAACACAGACATGCTTATTCATTTATACTGTATACATGTTCATACTGTCTATGGCTCCTCAGCCACAGAAGAGTTGAGTAGTCGTGACACACACTGATGGTCCTGCAAAGCCAAAAATATTTATTTTTTTGCCCTCTTCAGAAAAAAAAATTTGTAGACCCCAGACCTAAACGATGATACTTGGGAGATAAACTTAATAGAAATGTGTTTGGGTATTGTAACTCATAAGAGCTGGTACCAATAAACTGGCATGAAAATATTAAACCACAAATGATATGAGTGAGGCCAAGAACAATTAGCAAATTAGACTATTTCTATATTCACACCTGTGTTCTCAACTTCCTGTTTTTTTTTAACCTGTGGCCATTGTCCTAATTTTAGGGATGTTAAAATAGTAAAGGTTTGTTGACAAAGTAGTATATAAAATTATGTGTTTAATTACTGTTTTGTCCCCCAAAGTACCTAAAGTTAAATAACTGTTATTTAAAATGCACTAAATACCAGGGAGGAGAAATCCAGTGACATGAGGTTGGACGTGTCAACACACGTTTGCTGAGACTTCAGGCAGTCAGTGGTCTTGAGCTAAGAGCCAATCACATCTGGGTATCTTGTCCTCTGCTAACTTCCCATTTTCAGCCATGGAACGCTATGGAACCCTAACCTTGACCCTTGGCCAGGATTCACTTAGGGAAAGAGTGTGGACACTAGAGTCAGATAATCAATGATTCAGATCCTGGCTCTATCCCTTCCTCCCTCTGTGACCTTGAGCATGTAACTTGAAGATTTGGCTTTATCACCCATAAGAAGGAGGGTTGCATCTAATGTATGTAATTCATTTACCGCAGACCTTGAATAAATGATATTAAAGAGCAAAAAGGACAAAAACCTTCATGATGTATGGAGAAAAACATGTGTGGATGTGCTTGATGATCAGGGTCATCCAGTGATCTTCCGGTGGGTTAGAAATGGAATTGCTGGTTTTATACTGGAATTTGTCATTTGGGCATTGGACCATTGCTAAAGTTGACCGGTTTAAATATCTTCAGAACAATATAAGTTATATTAGTTTGAGTCTTCTCCTATGAAAGCATTATTTGTCCCAAATAGTATATGCCTCTTATATTGCCTCAGCAATATATTAAGGATAAATGCTTCGCCAATGAAATTTGTTCTTATAATGAAATTCAGAGGGATGATGGAAGGGAATGATTTTTGAGCAGGAGAGCCCTTCAGGAGTGCTTTGTCTGTATATAATGCTAATCCTCTTTTCCAGAGATTTCAGGATTTTGATGAAAGCCATGTAACCCTCTTCACAGAAAATACACATTCACACACACACAATATTTTATACAATTTCACGTGGTCAGGGCTGTCACCCGTCAATGAAAGAATTTCTGTGCTCTTGATAAGAAACGGAGGCTGAGGATTTAAACTGCTCCCTCAGAGCACAGATATCATCAGGGAACTCCCCTCCCCCACGCTCTCCTTACACCTGTACTCGGCCAGTTCACGGAGGCAGGCTTTGTGGTTTCCGTTTTACGTTCATAGTAGCATCTATAAATAGTCCTTTAGCCTGTGAATAAATTCTTATTCAGAATAGAAGAGAGGTACAAGAAAAGGGCAAAGCTAGGTCAGGACAATCTACCGTTGATAACAAATAAACTCAAGTGCTGACATTTTTCGGACAACCTTGGGTGCCAAGTGCTTCGAATATTCTCAGGAATGGGATGGAAACATGTAGGTAGAACAGGACAGGTGAGTCCCTGGGATGCTACAGGAGCCTTCAGACAAAAGGAGATTCCATTTACACGTATCTGACTCTGTCCTTTTTCCAGCCTCTTGTGTTCAGAAGGCATCTTGAAAGTCACTGGATCTGAGCGTACCTCAGTTCTGCCACCTGTTGAATGGGTCAGTGTAAGTTCTTCCCACTTTCCTACAGAGGGTGCTTTTGCAAGGCCCTCGGGGGAGCCCTGGGTGGTCATGATCATCCCAGAGGGTCTTCTACAGTCTGATGGTAACACCTCTTGACTCATCCCTTCCCCTCTCACCACCTGTGAGAGCACACTCTTCGTGGATTCCATCAAGCCTGAACTGAACATGACCCTAGGGAGCCTGCCAAAGTCAGAGGCTCTTGACGGTCTGAGGTTGCCTAGCGGGTTGTCCAGACAGCTCCCCAAGACTGGGGAACTCCAGGCTCATCCATTCACCTCTCCAGACCTCGCTTTCCTAAGTATGAGATGAGGGGACTGCCTGTGGACACCACTGCCAGCAACACAGGGCAATGTGAAGGAGCAGACTGTAAGGCAAGGAAACCATAATGGGGAGCAGGGGAGGGAAGACTTACCGAGATTTCTCTCATGTTTCTCAGCACTGATGAGACTCTGAACGGGGCAGGGGTCCATGCAGAGCCCACAGCTAAGAGGGAAAAGAGGGGCAGCTGGGTGGCTCAGTTGGTTAGGCATCCAACTCTTGCTATCAGCTCAGGTCTTGATCTCAGGGTCATGAGATCGAGCCCCACGTTGGGCTCCACATTGGGCATGGAGCCTACTTTAAAAAAATGAATGAATGAATGAATGAATGAATGAATGAATGAAAACGGGAACCTCATCCTAATCAGACACAAACATGTGTAAAGGAAAGCAAATCTGTCTATTCCAATCCCACCCCGGCTGTAGGTTCAGCTGTGTCGTCCCTCTTAGGCAAGGCCTTCTCCAACTAAACGACACTGACTACTCTCTTCTCTGACTACCCACAACCCGAAGTCTGTCCCCATGTTCACACCAGGCTGTTTTGTCTTGCTGTTTCCTATCTGGTCTGTGCAGAGCCACATTGCCTAACAAGACAAGCAGCTTCTTTTCTTATTATCGTCCTCCTCTTCGCCCATATCTCCTGGAGTCTTCTGCCAAACACATCATTAAACAAATCTAGAGCTAAGCTAAATTGAAAGGTAGAAAAGAGGGACACCCAGGTGGCTCAGTCGGTTAGGTGTCTGCCTTCCACTCAGGTCATGTCCCCAGGGTTCTGGGATCGAGTCCCGCTTCGGGCTCCTTGCTTAGAGGGGAGCCTGCTTCTCCCTCTCCCTCTGCCCTTCACCCCTGCTTGTGAGCTCGCCCTCTCTCTCTTAAACAAACAAACAAATAAATAAATAAAATCTTTAAAAAAAAATGGTAGAAAAGAATTGGATGCATGGACAGAATTTTCATTGGGGATGGGAGGGGGGCACACTCCAGTACTCTGGCTGTACCCTTTCTGCCTGCATCTAAGTGACTTCCAGAAAAGACCAGTGCCTCTTCTCAAATCCTTCAGTGATGTCACAGATAACTGTTGAGACCTTATTATGCACCAGGCATTATGCTTATCGTGAAGATGCGTGGCGACCAGTAAGTTCATCTCCTATAGCAGAAGAGTGTATACCTGAGTGCCATATTTTTTCCCAGACACCTCAAAATACTTAATTCACAAAGTTCAGTTCTTCCCACACCACTGGAGCCGAGTCAAACCTATGGAAAGTCTTCTGTAGGACTTGGTAGTTGCGTCTTAGTGCTTTCCAAAGGAGAAGGGAAAAGCCCACTGTCCTGGCCCTTCCTTCCAGCCCCGGCCCTTCAGACACCTGGGCCTGCCGGGAGAGCACCCTGGAAGGAAGCGGAGGGGAGAGGGGGCCCCTCCCTGCTCTCCCTGCAACAGAGGAGGACCTAGCCCACTCCAGCCCCTCCAGCTCAGTCTTACTCAGGAGGGGAAACTGCCCTCCGGGAAATGAAAAATCAGTTCCAGCACCATTCACCGCAAGAAAATGCCAGCCTCATCATGCCCCCGAGACGCAACACCCGTGAAACAAACGTGACTGTGACCACGCCCACACCAGGA